CAGTAACAGTGAGTGAACCTACTAGGCTGCACATCTATGCATTTTTAGTATTTCTTTCCCTGCTGAGCATTCTCCTTAGGGTCTGAGATAATATCCTCTACCAGCACATCTTCTCTTTGATGTAGTGCTTTTAACTTGCTACCTTATTTTACATAAAATTTCTACCTAAGGGCCTGAGTCACTGTAGAAGTTTTGTGACAACTATTTGACTTTTTTTCCCCCTCCTTTTAATTCAAGTTTTGAAGCTATATAAAAGAGTCAAATCTACCAGAGGGCTGACCAACAGATAGATTATGAGTGGGTCAAGTCACTGTTTTCAGAAATCCTAAAAGTTCACAGTAGCTATAAAAGAATTCATTGGCTAAATTAAACTACATTTTCCCCAAGAATGTTTTAAAGCTGATAATGATAACTCTGTGTTTCTGAGCATATAACGTCAAATTTTTAAGGCACTCTATCGCCTCATTCTTATTATTTATCTACCTTCCCACATACATCAATTTCTTTAAAACTGGAAATTGATGCTTTGCTCTAAGAAAGCACTACAAAAGCTTGAGAAGAAAGTGATGGCCCTGATAAACTTTCTACCCCATTTTTCTCCCTTCTACTCACCTCTTTTCTGACTTCCTTCCCCCCCCCTCCCCCCCTCCCCCGCTCCCCGCTGACTCTGCTAGATTGTAAGGAGCTTAGTTTTCAGAGTCTTTGGCTATCAGGAAACCCCACTATAGTTTGGATGAGGGAGTCGATGCCCCAAATGAAGTTATGTCTCTTATTAGTTCAAGGTCAGAGCTGGGACCTATATTCTCTCACAGAGCCACCCATCTTGTATAATATCTAAGAAGTCTAGATCATTATAAGCCCTCTCCACAGGCCCCAAGCAGAGGCATCCTCAGTTGGTGAAAAACCTTGCTTCTGCTTTGTCTCTCACTTAATATTTCCACACCCTTTCCCCTTCAATTGTGTCCAATTCTTAGGTCTCTAGTGTAACACAAGCTTTGGACCTCTATGCCTCCCTCCCTCCAAAGCTCCCTATCATCCTCATCCTGTACTTTGTCAAGATAAATCAGTTTGAGTCCTAAACTAGTTGTCACTCTGAAAAGAAATCTAATAAATTAATCTCTCATAAGAAGCTAATGACTCATTAAGAGTTTAGGATATTAAGAGCTCACTACTTGTATTTGGATTGCAATAGAAGATCTATTGAAATATAAATCAAAGGCTTAACCGCAAACAGTGACTGTTACTACTAAGTGGACGAATTTCTGCTAGTACCCATTTTGGAGTTAGGGGATGATGATGGAAGAGAATAGGATGATGGAGGACTAATATTTATTACAACACTTATGTTGTAATGATGCTATTGTAAGACCATGTTCCCCTATACCTAAGGGGGCAGTTCAGGCTTCAGTAATCTTGAACAGTCTTATTCCTACTGCTGAATGTTTTCTAACCTGATTTTTGCTCATTACTCTAAGAAGGTTTCCCATGAGACACCAATGAATTAGTTTTCCTTAGGATAAGACCTGCAGTGGGCATTTCTTGAGTGCTGTCTAGAATGTAAGAAGCTAGTTTCACTAGCAGCTTGGATTGCTGAAATGTACAGTTTCTTTCCATAAATTATGGACATAGCTAGTCCAAGAAATCTAAAAAGCGAAATCAGAAAATCATCAAAGTTTGTTTGCATCCTATTCATCCCCATCCACTAACCTCTCCCTCACCCGTCTGTCCCCTGTGCATTCCTAATTCCAGGATGCCTTTGTCCCCACTCCTGGTTCATAGGTTGATGTTCAACCACTGAATAACACCAGCTGGGCTGATTTTTAAATAAGCATTTCAGGCGACATTGCTAGAGGCAATCGTTAGAATATACCTACAGAAGCTCTGGAGTAAGAGGTAGTATGTAGTTAATTGGATGTCTTTGAGCTCCACCCCACCCTGTGGAAGCCAGGAGGATGAGTGCTTCATTCTTCAGTTCTAACCGATGTCATCTTGACTGACTGATTGGTCCTTAATTACCACCCCTTCCTCGACTCCTCAATCAAAGGAGGTTACAGTGGGTTGAAGAACCTGTCTACATTATAATGTTTGGCTTGTATCCTACTAACTGTTTAATAGATAGGCAGATTTTCTTTCAAGTTCTTTTCCTAAACTACTTTTTGGAGACCTAAGTATTCTTCACACCACAAAATGACAACACTGTTTAATTTTCCAATTAAAGCAGATGAATAGGAAGTGGGAGCTCCATCAGAAGGGCAGTTCTAAATTAACCCTCTTTATTAAGACCCAAGGCTATGTATTCTATTTATTCATCAGAATCCCCCAGCAGGTAACCCCTTTAATATTTTATATATAGTCCTTTAAATTTATTTGTGGGTATGGCATGCCAGTTAATTTATTCAGCACAGTTTTGTGAATGGATTTATTAGAGATTTATAAAGAATTTACAGCCATGATGAATCAGGCACATCGTCTTGACCAACTCCTCAATTTTAAAAATTGAGAAACCAAGGTCAAAACTCAAGGGATAGAGTGTACACCCCCTTCTACCTCTGACAGCTCTTCTTCTTTTTTGGAGGGGAACCCACCAGGCCCATCCTTCACTCCAGGTCTATGTCTGACCAATCAGATCACCCCATCACCCAAGTGCCATGATTGGTTCACATGCAAGGACAGCACAAAGGCTGCTTGAGCTATCTGGGAAAATGACCATTTCCCATTGGAGTTGCTAAATTAAAAAAAGAAAAAAGATAATCTAGGACTTCTGCCACCATCCTAAAGAAGAAAGGTGTCTGAAGAGCAAATGAAACAGAAAGATAAGAAGAGCTGAGAGAAGGAGGAAGACTGAATCAGGGTTACATCATCAGAGCCCAGGATCCAGCTGAGTTGATCTTTAGCCCTTGACTTCTTGTTGTGTGAGTCAATGAAGTCCCTTTACAGTTAGTGTTGAGGGTTTAAATTTGCGACGGAAAGGGTGCTATTGGGAACACAGATGTGCCCGATGCTAGCAGCTTTATGTACCAGGTCTCCTGCCACCCAGTGCTCCTGCCAGGAGTCTCATGCATGCTCAGTGGCAGTGGATTTTGAGCTTTAGATTGCTTAAAAATCAACTGCAATATCTGTTAAAATGCAGATTCCTGGGCCCACAAAGATTTGGATCCAATGGAACTGGGTGGCAAAGGTCATAAACCTGCCCTTTATCAAGATTTTTTTCCTGAGTGAGAAAAGTCCTCAGGGTGGCCTGGGTGGTTCTGCTCACTGGCTGACACATTCTGTTCTAGCTGTACTGTTCCCTGGAGGCCCACAAACATGCCAGGCCCGCTCTGGTCTTAGAGCTTTATCTTGGCTGCTCCCTCCACCTGCAAAGCTCTTTACTTGGATTATCTCCACTGCTAAAGCATTCCCTTCAAGCCTTGAAAAAAAGGTCACTTCCCAACAGGTCCTATTCTGACCTCTGTGTTTAATACAGCAACACAACACCCCACCCTACAGACATCCTTTACCTTCTTTTATGTCTTCCTCCCATAAGTCTTCTTACCTTCCACAGTTCTATACTGTTTATGTCTTATGTTTATTTTCTACCCTGTTCCTACTCTACCACCATACTCCCTCCCTCGCAAGCAAGCTCCAGGAATCAAGGATCTGTTCACTGATGTAACCTTTAGCTGTCACATAGCAGGAACTCAATACGTATTTTGTGAATGAAGGTGCTTTCAGTTTGAAGTGCTTTCTGTGAGAATGCCATGTGGAAATTAATTATGTGACTCTCTTAATTCGGCATAATCAAGATTATTGGATGTTTCTTTTCTCTGGAATGAGAAGTGATAAGAAAGATGAGTAATACAAAGAAGTTGCTACATTGTTGTTGATGTACCTACTGTTGCCCAGGAGGAACCAGCTCCCTCCACCCCGCCTTGCTCTCCTTAGAGCTTCCTTGGCTCAGTGCAGGGTTTACCGCTGATGTTGTCTTCTGGGGATTTCTGGGGAGAGGCGTTCTTCTGTTAATCTATTACACTGACAAGTAAGCGGTTGGACAGATATGTTGCAACATTAGGTGAGTCTAGCAGGTGAGAGGAATGCATTTACTTAATGATAGTAACCCTTCCCAGCAGAGGAAATGCCACCTAGCTTATACATACTTACAAATATTTTTACTTCTGTTTAGCGCACTTCAGTTATCTTCTTTAGAGCTTGATGATTTTGGAACTTTCACTAAAGAATGTCTTTCGGGGTAGGATCAGGAAATAAAAATTGATGTATATTTAGTCAAAATCAGTTTGACTCAGTGGATAGAGCTTCAGCCTGATGACTGAAGGGTCCCGGGTTCAGGTCAAGGGCATGTACATTGGTTGCAGGCACATCCCTAGTAGGGGAGTGCAGGAGGCAGCTGATCTATAATATGTTTATCTCACATCTATGTTTCTAATTCTCTATCCCTCTCCCTTCCTCTCTGTAAAAAATCAATAAAATATATATTTTTAAAAAGCAAAATTGATGTATATTTGCTTTTTAAAAAAACATACTTTAGCTGTTCAATTAAATGAGTATTCTAATATTCACATTGTGCCACTTTACCTAGTATTTTAAAGAGGCATCCAGCTACCATTCATTTTAGTGAAGCAAAACGCTGCTTGCTACTTTCTTTTCTTAGTTTCTGGGAGCTTGGGCAACTGCTGTTGCGAGTGCTGAAGGGATATTGGGTTCTTAAAGAACCTGCTTAATCTTCTCTAGTAACCAATTAAATAAAATGGACTCTGGGCGTACATAGCAGGTGGGTTTGGAAGGGAAAAAAGAAACATGTTGAAAATTACATTTTGCATTTAAATGGGTGTTTAAAAATGCAAAGGCATACATTTAAGAGAATATGATGATTGGGAGAGTTTTTATTAAGAGATCAAGTTAAGAAGGGCTGAATAGTAAAGAACTTAATGGAAGAAAAGGCTGGCTAAGTGGAAATAGTCTTTGAATTTAAATGAGAGCAACCTGAAAGGACACAGTGAAACTTCTAATCATTCAGACGTTTCTCCTTTGGGGGAAAAAAAAAATCTATAAAAAAGGTACCAACTGCTTTATTTTTGCAGAGTCATCCTTCAAGGCAATGTCGCCTTCGGATAGGGTCCTCCGAAATACACCGATTATAGGTCTAAATGAAAAAACAAAAACTAAACTTAGTGCTAGTTTTGCAGTCATGAAAGAGGCTGCCTTCCCTTTTTAATGCATTCGTGTTTTTTTTTTTTTTTTTTTTTTAATGAACAAGGAAGGGACTATTTGATCTGACTTGCCATTTGGTTCCTTTCCGCGAAATCTTGAAACTCGAGACGCGAAAAATGCAGGGGTTGGTGAAATACCTGCCCTCGGAGCAGAACCACACAAGTCGGTGTCTCTGGCCCGGAATTCCAGAGACGAATCTCCACCCCTCCCGCAGAGTCACCTGCTCCGGGGGAACCCCGGCCAGAAATCCGGGTCGCGCCAGGTCAAATCTTGCGTCTCCTGTTTACTCCGTCCCTGGCAGGGCGGCGGCGAGGCCTGGGGCGGGTGGGCAGGGCCGCTCGGGCCGCGGCGCCCCCGGGGGCACCGGGTTCCGCTCGCCTTGGGACGCCGCTCGGGCTCCCGGGGAGGGCGGCGGGGAGACCACCCGGGGGAGGCGCTCCGGGCGCCAGCGCAGCCGCCGCCGGGCTGCCACTCGCCGCTGATCGGCCGCCGCGGCCTCCGGGGAACCTCCCCCACGAGGGTTCACACGAGTCCACACAAGCCGGGTGAAACGGCTCGAGGGAGCCCCAGTGTCCCCGGGTGTCGCCCGGCCGGGGAGGAAGCCCGGGCGGAGCTCCGGCCTCCACTCGCCCGGGATTCCCCCGCTCCCCGGCCCGGGCGCCGGCCTCCGGGCGCTGGGTGTGATCTCATTCGCTTCCCTCCGGAGCGGGGAGCAGGGCAGCGCGCGGGCCGGAGACCAAGGCGGCTCCCCGGCCCCCGGCCCCCGGCCCCGGCCGCCCCCGCCCCCAGGGATGTGAACGCCCGGGCGAGGCCGAGCGGCGGTTCCCGAGCTGGGTGCGCCCGGGGCGCCCTGGTGAGTGAGCCCGGGAAGGCTATTGGGGGCATTCTGAGCACCTGAAAAGTTCACGCTTCCGCAGGGGCACGGAAAGTGCCAAACACTTTGAAAAAAAAAAAAAAAAAAAAAAAAAAAAGCTCTGGAAACGCAGCCGGGAGCTACGTCCAGTCTGATTTCGTTTATCTTGACTGATAACTGTGATCGTGAGTAGAGGTCGGGGCTCTAGCGAGAGGCCAAGGATCAGAGGCACAGGGACAAAATAATATGGCAATCCTAATGATTATGTCATCCCGTTTGTTATCGAGACTGGGAATGATTGTAAGGGAAACGGGGGGAGATGGGGGGGGGGGATGGGGGATGTGGAGGTTTCCATAAGCCCTACAGGAAACTCTCAGGCTCCTGGAAGAGACACCCAAGTGTTTTGGCAGGACAAGTAGAAACCCGCTCTCCAGGGAGTTCCCGGATCCCGGCGGCGAGCGGGAGCGCAGCCGCGATTCTCCCGCCCCGGCGGCCGCAGCCGCGGCGGGGCCGGGCCCAGCGCTTTGGGCCGCCTCCCTCCCCCGCCGCCCGCCCGCCCGGCGCACGGCACATCCCTCTCCCCGGCTGGCTCGCTCCAGACTGGTTTTTCTGGTTCGGCCTCCCTCCCTGGGACGCGCAGGGGGATCCGATGACGTCGCTGGCTGAGTCTCTCCCTCTTCCTCCCTCCTCCCCGCGTCCGCTTCTCCCCCCCCTCCCCGCCCTCCTCCGAGTAACTTCTGTTCGGGGAGGCGCTGCCAGGAATAACCCGGTGCGTCCGCGGCCGGGAGGGGAGGGAAGGCGGCCGCTGCGGCTCCCACGGGCAGACACCGCTGCGGCCCGTCCCCGCGGCTCCCCCTCCGGAGCCCGGCGGCCCCCAGCGGCCCCCGGCCCCCGGGCCCAGCTCCGTCCAGTGTCAGAAAAATAAATAAAGGCGAGCGGAGCCTGGGCAGGCGGTGGGGATCTCTTCCCCCCCCCCCCCACCTCCGCGCCCGCCCTCCCTCTGTCCTTAAGGAAATGCTACCAGACACCCCCTACCAGACTCGCTCAGCCTCGGCGAGGAGCGGCCGCCGCTGCGGCAGCGAGAACAAGGGCACCAGGGGGGTTTCCTCCCGCTCCTCCTCTCCCTCCTCTTCCTCCTCCTCTCCGACCTCCTCCTCCTCCGGCTCCGACTCAGCGGTGGTGACTTTCCAGGTGAGCGGCCGCCGCCGCTGCTGCTTCTGCTGCTGCTGCGAGGATCCCCCTCGCCCGCCGCGTCGCGCCCTCCTCCCGCCGCTGTCACCGGCGGCGGCCGCGCTTTGACAGCCGCGAGGGGCTCCGGCCCGGGGCGGGCGGCCGGCGGGGGGCGGGCTGGACCTGAGGGGGTGGAGAACCGGCGAGCGGGAGCCGCGGAGCGCCGCCGTCTCTCCCGCCGCACAGAGGAGGGTCTCCACCAAAACATCGCCGCCGCCGCCGCCGATCGTGGCCACACGAGTCTCTGGCCAAGTTGCGTCTTGGACGCAGAGAAGGCTCCCCGGGCCCCGGGAGCAACTGGCAGGGGCTCCTGGAGCGTGGACAACATCCCTGCGCATCTGGACTTTGGGGTGCAGGGTGCACTGGGGGCGCGCGCGGAGGGCGGACCGGACCCTTGGGGAAGAAGCGAGCGGCAGACATGTAGGTTCCTCGGCTCGGTAAGTGGCCCGGGCGGGCGGGCGCTGCTGTGTTTTTCCTGCCTCCGGGAGAGCTCGGGGAGCTTGTTTCACTTTATAACCGAAATAGCCTCCGCCGCCGCCGGGCTCCATCGCCCCTCCCGGCTTCCCGGGGTGAGAGGGTCGGCAGGGGCAGGGATGGGGGAGACCCGGAGCGGGGGGTCGGGCGCGTTGGCAAACGCGGGGAATACCCTGGCCGCGGACCTATGCAGATGAGGGGAGGCTGCTTTGCGTAATGTCCTGGGGGGCGGGGAGGGGGGAGGGAGAGGGCCGCACGCGAGCGAGCGCTGGAGGCAGGAATGCGCCCGGTTGCTAATGAGGGACGTGCACCGCGCACCGCGGCCACCGCTGCGGCTTGCGCTCCGGCCGCGCCGCCAGGTAGCGGGGGAGGAGGGGGCCGGCCGGGCGGCGCGGGGAGGGAGGGGGCGGCGGAGCCTGGGCCGGCCGCCGGCCTGCGGCCGAGGGAGCGCGGCGGAGGGCACAGGCTGTTGGCATTTCAGCTACTCCTTTCTCCTGCCCGGCGCGGAGGGAAGGAAGGAAGGAAGGAAGGAAGGAAAGAAGGAAGGAAGGAAACAGCGAAGGAAGGAAGCGAGAAGGAGGGGACTGTCTCGATGGAAGGTTCAGGCGGAGGCGCCCCCCTCGCCCTGAGGGTGCACCGGCCGCGGAGCGGCTCCCGGCGGTGGCGCGGGCGGACCGGGGCGCGCGGAGACCGGTGGGGGCGGTTTGCATGCGTGTTGGTGTGTGCGCCCGCCCGGGGACCGGGAAGGGACATGTGTGTCTGGGCTGTGTGCGCCGTGGGGAGCCGGGTCTGCGCCTTTATGTCTGTTCCCTGAAGTGGGTGGAACGTTGGCCCGTTCCGGGAATGTTCCATGACGTGGTGCAGCCGCAGGAAGGGGGTTAACGAGGGGGCTCTGCCGCGGCGGCTCCGCCGGCTGCTATCAAAGCAGATGTGCTGCCGCCGCTGCCTCTCCTCCTCCTTCACCTCCCGTCACCCCTCCTCCCGCCTTTCCATTCTGTGCGTCTGGGACTGGCAGGGGTGAGACAGGAAAACAGTGCCGTGGGGGCAGCTGGGTGGGCGGGTGGGAAGGGGTGATGGGTGTGCAGGGTGCTTGTGGTATTTGATGGTGGTGGTGGGGGGAGACTCCAGATCTGCCACCCCAGCTGCTATCACAGATCGGTGCGCCTTATACGCATGTGCCTCCGCGTCCTGTGCCTCTTACATAACACAGCCAGTGCTGCAGAGGACAGTAGGAAATGAGACCCCAACCCTCCAAGCCCACACGGGATGAGGGGATAGAAGGTCAGGACGTGCCCCTTGGTGTTGTCCTTCCGGGACGTGGCTCCCAGTGGGGGCAAAGCAGGGAAGGAGGGTTTTCTTGGAGTGGCTTCTCTCTCTGACTTGAAAGCATCCAACTGAAAAGGACCGCAGGAACTAGTCCTTTCTCACGAGAAAGCTTTTACCTGCTATGCTGAGGGCAGCTGGGTGCTTTAACCCAGGCGGTGCAGAGAAATGAAAGGGTCCTTAATCGAGACAGTTGGAGGAGATGGGCAATAATGTGTGCGGGGTGAAGAAGGGCAGTATAAGGATAGCTTTCGGGGGACCAGAGGAATCCCCTGGTAATAGGTTTCTCCGGAGGCCTTAGGACACCTGTAATGGCTTAGAATTCGCACAGGAAGCAGTGTGTGCAACTGACATTATGAAAGCCTTATTCTCTGCACAGTTACTTAGGCCGAAAATGAACATAAAAAGGCTTGTTTCCGGTACTTTCATTTAGAATGGAAAATCTGAACTGATTTTTCTCCTTCCTTCCTTTTTTTTTTTTTTTTTTGCCATTTTAAAAATAACTCAGTTTACCTCCAAATAAATCCCGTACTCTTCCCTACCGCCAAAGGCTAGACTTTGGTAATTCGCAAGAGAATTGTATGATTTTTTTTTGTGTGTGTGTGTCTTATTATTATTATTATTATTATTATTATTTTAGCATACTCTGAGCTCTAGTCAAAGGCTATTGACTTTCCTCTTCAGTACAATTTTTCTTTGTAGTGCATAATCAAGGCCAGAAATTACTTGAAATATTAATAAGATCGATTTTAATTAAATTTACAATGATCTAGCCTCATAGAAAAGGACGATTTAACTTTATTAGACACGTTTCCTCCAGTGATCTAGTAATGTTTGGTGATGTTTGTCCTTGAGCAAAGCAAATTATTTTAAATATTTGCAATATATTATATTACATAGATAAAAACAATATATACTTTACATATAATACATACAGATTATAATTTAAATGCCTTGCACTTTTTCACTTTGTAAGACTGCCAAAGCAAAATTTTAACTAAGTAGATTGTGTAATGAGTAGATTTGGTTCGATTTTTAGGATATAGGCCGAATAATTTATCAAGACAGAAATGCTTTCCCCTTAAGAAATCATTTCCATTATTAAGACAGAATTTCTGTGGGACATTAAGGAGTCATGATGAGAATGGTCCATTTTTATTTTGAGGTGAAAAGGATTTGCTAGCATCCACTTAATACTGGCAGTGTGCTAGCATCCACTTAATACTGGCAATGAAGATTGTCATAATCCTTTTTCACTACTAGATTTGAAATATTCATTCTGTTTCTTATGTATAGAAAAATGTTATATATTACAATGGTGAACCTTTTGAAAATGATTCATGTTTCTTACTTTGAAAATAGGTCAGGTATAAAACAAAAATTACTTATTGGCATAAATATTCCTGTTATGGTGATTTTATTTTATGTGGTTGGCTTTATTAAAGACTACATATATTCATGTACTTATGATAAAATTGATTTGGGGACAATTTTAGGGATGTAAGTGTATTAATGATATTAAAAATTTAAAATGTAACTGATTCTTAAATGATTAGATCCTTATGGAGGCCTTTGGAAAAATACCATTAAAGTAGATAAAATATTTCTATAAAAAATAGATCTTAAAGGGATTTACTATGTGTATATTATTACATAATAAAATTATGTTGTTTGACTACATTGAAAGATTAGCCAGTAGAATGTTTTGATTGATCAGGTTCCTTTTACCTGGGATGGGTTTACAAATGTTCTTGTTACTACGACAACAAAACAGAGATAACATGTATGCAGGCGTTCCTTGTGGAATAATGGTACATGTGTCTGCTTGAGCCTTTGGCACTTTATCATGATTCAGAATACCAGGTTGAAAATTTTATGCTTCTTCAATTTAAAATGAAAAAAATCTTTATTTAAGAAGTTGCCTATTTTTTTTTAAAGTAGGCCTTATTTTAATAGCAGCATTAATAAATAACAAGTACTCTAATTGTGTCGGTTTTAGATTTTTGAGTTATCAATTATTAGTTGAGGTTAACTGGAAAGCTTCAGCATAGGAAAAGTAGTTTTAAAGACTTATTGAAAATGTTATTTGGCATGACTGAAAGTGTTATCCATTAGGATGTGGAATAATTTAATACCTGATGTGGCAACTATTATAATAAGGGAAAGGTGTCTGAAATCTACTGGATGGATGATTGTCAATCAGACAGGCCGCTAATCACCTAAATCTGTTAAAAACAAACATTGTTTTCACATTTTGATTCATAGTCAGCATCAGCAGAACACTGTTGGTATATGCGGTAGTCCTGTAGGTGGAGAAATAGTTCACAATTTAAATGATGTGCTTCCAGTTAGTGGATTTACATTCTTTAATGAATTCTTTGTGAATCCATCTTTTGGCTAATACTGGTATGTAAGTATTGCAAGTTTTTAAGTGATATTTAAGAAGGACTAGAGGAATTTTGCTAACCCAGCCCAGTGGACTTCAGGTTTTAAGAAATGTCCAACCATCCAGCGTGTATGGGTTTGCTGTAACCATGCAGGCAGAGCCTTAATTAATCTTGAATAAAACTTTAGTGAATGTTCCAATGAGGCTCCTCAGTGTTTGAAGCTATGGGTAAATACAGAGGATTGAGAGAAAATAGGAAAGCTTTATTGAAATGAGAATGTATTTAAAGGAAATTGTATAAGTGATATAATTTTCTGTTGGTTCCTGATACTTCATCACAATAAAAAATATTGCTTACTATGTGCTATTTAAGGTAATGCTATAAAAAAAAGGAAGTTATAAATCAGATTTTGTAGGTATGAGATGGCTCTAAGCAATTTGGAAAAATGTTTTAGCACTTTATCTATTTTTGTGACACAACTCCCAAGTTACACCCAAGGGGATAACATAGCTTACTTGGCCTGTGGAGTCTTCGGCTTCTCTGAGGTGGACCATGGAACTAACATAAAGATAGACATAGGACTATCCTGTCTTCATGACTGCATTTGGAATAGATTCTGAACTGCTTGATAAACGGTGTCACAAATTATTTGAGTTACTGTTATGTGATCTATTCTACAAGTGTTCATAACTTTAGGTTTCCTATCAGTTTAAAATTTGAAAATTAACTAGTTAGTCATATTTAGGCCTATTTGAAGAAAGTGCTTTGGAGAGATGAAAATGATGTTTGTGTGCCTAAAGAGGAATCTAGGTAAGAAGCAGGTGGGGTTTGTCCTACCACTTCTGAGTCACCGGGTGGTTGGATGTAAGATCAAGAAGTACTCAGGGCCGGGACCAGTTTGGCTCAGTGGATAGAGCATCGGCCTGCGGACTGAAAGGTCCCGGGTTCGATTCCGGGCAAGAGCATGTACCTTGGTTGCGGGCACATCCCCGGTGGAGGGTGTGCAAGAGGCAGCTGATCTATGATTCTCTCTCATCGATGTTTCTAACTCTATCCCCCTCTCTTCCTCTCTGTGAAAAATCAATAAAATATATTTAAAAAAAAAAAGAAAGAAAGAAAGAAAGAAGTACTCAGGGCCAGCCAACATTTTTGACTTTTAACTCATGTATAATCTTAATCCAGTCTTCAGAGTATTATGACAGCCATTATTGGTCAATACAATTTTTCAACTATTTATTCCACTATGGCTCAGG